CAGTAGTCACCGGCTATTAAGCCCACCTCGGGCCCAGACCAAATTGGGCTTATTAACCATGGGCTTAATAGCCGGTGACTACTGTATAGTTTATAGGAGAATAAAAACACCACAAACGATTCGGCAGGCAATTGCGGCGACGTAGAAACTCATTGAGCGCTTCCAACACAGGGAAATCCCTTGGATTTCTGAGTTCTGCATAGTAATATGGATATTCGAATTCAAATACACAAGTGCGGCCCCACAGTAGCAAGTGCACAAAAAATCTATACGATCATCTTAAGTTAGAAGAAATCAGTCGCTGTTAGAAAAAAAGGACTCTGAATTATGACGCTCATTCAAATGTTTGTGATGACATGAGAAGTAGTGATCAAACAATGCTGTATAATTTCCATCAGTATTACTGTTGTGTTTGTAAGCAGGACAGTCAGGATAGCAAGCAAGCAAGCCTGAAATGTCCGCAGTCCCATCCCCGTTCGTTCCTCTCCATAAAATTTCGTCGTTCGGCCGATAGCTTCAAAGGAACATTTTTTGACAAAAGAACAAAACACACGCCGCACTTGATCAATAGTACAAATAGTCCGTTTGAAAAGTAGCGTTTCCAAATAAACAGGAGTATGCTCTTTTAACCTTTGGCTTAATTCGTTTTTTTCAAAAATGTGTTCGCCTGACTAGAACCAGAAGTTATAACCGTTATTTGTATAATATCTGTAAGATATAAATGTTAATTAGAATGTCGATATACGTTCACCTACAACTTTCATCAAGAATTCCCAGGAACATCAGCAACTATGCTCCCAAACGGCTAGTAAACGGCAGAAAGAATCCGTATAGCTCATCACTGAAGCAAAACTAGCAACTCAAGTCTCCCTGTATCTGTCGACATTCGGGTGATACAACTTTTAGATAAACGGGAAACTTCGGCCATGCGTTGGCACTGAGATAATTAATTTCGTCACAGTAGGCATCCGATCATACACAATAGTGTCCATTTAATTCGAACGTTGTCAGCCTTTTATTTGAAATGACTTTGGAAGAATAAAACCAGATCGCCTGTATACTCGAAGTCGAGTTTTTCAATATTCACCATCCCGTTTTCATGATGTGACGATAGAAGATAACGTAACAGCCACGCTCGGAGTAACGGGGAAGGCAGCTTGTGGCCGCGCATTTCTAGGGAACACCGTTGATCATTTCTGGCTGCCAAAAACCAAGCCCCTTCCTCCCTGCCCACACAGATAAATGATTTTTAAGTTGCTGTCATGGGTGGCTAACCTCGTAAAGGCTTGTACACAAATCCAAGATAAAAATTCAAACGGACAAAACTTTAGGTTTTCTGAAGATATTCTTATAATTCGCGAGAATAAATTCTGATAAAATTGACTGTCTTCGTAAGGCTCAATCGCACGACATAAAGTACAACGCTTGTGGCCAATCAACGCTCTAACCATCTGGGGTATGAGGACCGGACTGAAAGTTGAGTTTAGTAATATTTTGGTCGAGGTACCTGCCCAAATTGCTGCCAAATATACAATTAATCAATTCTGAAAGTCTGCCCCTCGTGGCTCAGGTAAAGCTATTGGCTTTAAACAAGCCTGACACTTGCTGTCAAGGGTCCAAAACCCACAAAGACCGCTGGTTTTTTTGAAATGGGTCCGAGGAATTCTACAAGTCTGCTCCAAACTCCGCTTTTATTCTTAAAAATTCCGATGGGGAACCAATCACCTGGGAAATTCTACCAGGATACTCTTAGGCCGTAGGCAGATCAGAAAATTGATGAGGAAGGCATATTAAAATTAAGATGCGTTAACGGAATGCAAAGAGTTGTACAACTGAATTTTAAAGCTACAAATTTAGGAAAACGAATACTTTGAAGAACTGAATGACTGCGTTAATTTTATGATTGTAATATGCGAAGAAATCACATATGCAGACATTTCAGTGTCCTCCCCAATTAATGTAGAAACTGCAGCTACATTTCTGTTTGATGTAATCAACAATAAGCGGAATACTTGGGTCAGATTTGTTGAAATGCAATCCATTTTTGTTCTGAAATAGTTATTGATTATTTTGTAATTCATTCAAACAACTGAGACAGTGGCTTCCCTACACCAAATAATTTGGGTCCTAA